AGGGCTCCAGTTGCCCTAAACTTGTCAACAGGACAGAGTCCACCTTATCTCAAATGTCCTACTAGGTCACTCAGAGCCCCGCTCCTCCCCAGTGTGATCTCCATCTGGGATAAAACCCAGGAGAGACCTCACAAACCCACAATTCAGATACACTGTGCTGGATAGACTCTTATCTTACATCCTTTCATCAAGTCTCATTCCATACTGGTATACATTGCATTATGGGGGGGGGGGGGTGGAGGAAGAAACTAGCAGCCAGAACAGAGCCCTACCTTTGTATAATCTCTGGTCTTACCCAGTCTTCTCAGTATACTCCTAAAACATGTAACAGCTGCCCCGGCCCTCAGCCATGCTCATGCTCATTTTTGACTTTCATGACAAGTCTAAAATCCACTGCCCTGTCCCCCAGTGTCCATATTCTCACTTTCTCACACTTACTTTCTCACTTTTCATTCTCACTTGGAAACTTTCTCAGAACAGACTCTCACTGACACTCCTGGCCCTCCTGTGCCATAATGCTCCTAACTCCCAGGTACGTCTGCAAAATCACCAATCAACATAGGTCATGGGAAGGGTGGAACATTCTAGGCAAGGAAAATAGCTATTTAAAAAGCATGGATTTGTGTGAGAAACAGTAAGTAGGACAGTGTAGCTGAATCTTATAGTGGGTAGAGGAGACCAAAGTATAAGAAAATTGGAAAGGTAGGAATAAGGTTGTTGTTCTGTTGTATTTGACTCTTTGTGACATAATTTTGGGTTTTCTTGGCAAAGATACTGGAGTAGTTTGCCATTTTCTTCTCCAGCTCATTTTACAGATGAGGAAACAGAGGCAAACAAGGTTAAGTGATTTTCCCAGGGTTATTCAGCTAGTAGATATCTGAAGCCAGATTTGAACTCAGGGAGATGTCTTCCTAACTCCAGGCCCAACATTTTAGGCACTATGGAGCCACCTAGTTGCCCAAATAAATGGGAAAGGTAGGAAAGGATCAGTCTGTAAAGGGTTTTAAATGCCTTATGTTTTGTATTTGATCATGGAAGTAATAAGAAGACATTAGAGTTTATGGAGTAGCAGTAGTGAGGTGGGGATGGCAGTTCATAGGGTTCAGCCCAAGAGCTCTGCTAATGACTGTGGCCATTTTCACACAGCATTATATCATATGCCCAAGAATGATCCCCAGGTACTAAATCTGCAGCCGACAACCCAGTGACAGTCTTCTACACTTTTGAATGCTAGGCCACCCAATGTGTTCTCAGCAACTCTTAGAAACACCAAAGGAAAGATTGAGAGGATCCTCTGTGACTTGATGTGTCTACTTTGTTAGAAATAAGATCATACATTTTGAGCAGGAGGGACATTGGAAATCAGCTTTTTCAAGTGAGCCCCAGTGAAATGCAGGTGACTTGCTTAAGGTCACTCAGAAAGTAACTATCATGGGTAGGATTCCAGTTCAGGTCCTCTTACTTTAAATCTAGCATTCTGTCCTCTAGCATATTACCAAATACTCAGTGGTATTTTTTTTGTACCTAAAGAGAACAGATCCAGAGGAGAATGTGTTCAGTTGTTCAGACATGTTTGACTCTTCAGGACCCTGTGAACCACGGCATGGCAGGTCCTCCATCTGAGGGGCTCATTTTCCAATGTCATGCATTTTAATACTATCCATGGGGTTTTCTTGGCAAAGACACTGGAGTGTTTCACCATTCCTTCTCCAGTCAATCACCTTTTGTCAGAACTCTCCATTATGACCTGTCTTGGGTAACCTTGCATGACATAGCTCATGGTTTCATTGAGTTATACAAGCCCCTCCACCACAATAAGATAGTGATCCAGGAGGGGTGAGGACATTTACTGGCTGAATAAAGACCTGCAAGGGTTATTCAAATAGCCTAGTGAGTAGGGTTAGCTCTGAGCAAAATTATTAAAAAACAAAGAGTCTGTTTGTGGGGTTCCAGACCACCTTGTTCCTCTCCATGGTTCAGTGTTCCCCACTATCCCTCACTAGGAACTCCATTCTCTCATATTCTCTTTTCCTCTGTCCAAAAGTGAAAAAAGGCAGGAAAGTTTAACAAACTCATTCACTTTCAGGTATAAATACCTGATAACATTATTATCCCTTCCAAGTGTATGCATATTTTAACAGAGATCATGGTTGAAGGAATAAAGTTTTCTAAGGAAACCAGAGTAACACACATTCTATTAAATTACAAGTATAGGTTGTTTTTTTCCATGTTCAAACAAACAAAGAAGGTATCATCCTTAAAAAAATGCATTTAGTTTTGAGAGAAAGAGGAATCGAGTTTTGTAAGAAAACTAGTATGTTATTTATTCTATTAAGTTAAAATATTTTTTAAAATGTTCAAACACATAAAAAAGGCATTGTCCTTTAAAAAAAGAAATCATTTAGTTTTGGGAGAAAAGCAAAGTTAACAGAACCTAGAAGTAAAAGAATTTATCTAAGAAGTAAACAATGTAAATATCTCTACTTTTAGGAGGGGACGATTGAATGAATGAGGTAGACAGAGGTCTGAAGGAGGAAGCTTGAATTGAAGAAAAGGCCACTTTTCATGTGTTCTGTCCTTCCATCTGAACTCTCTTCCATTTGGCCTCTTGAAAAAATAGGACCACATCCTCCTATTGGTTCTAATTCTTACTTACAACATCACTAATGCGAAAATATGTTTAATAGGAATGTATATGTATAGCCTATATCAGATTGTGCGCCATCTTGGGGAGGGTGGTGGGGAGGAAGAGGGAGAAAAATTTTAAACTCAAAAGCATATGGAAGTGATTTTGATAAATCAAAATAAATTAATAAAAATAAATAAATAAATAAATAAATGAATAAATAAATAAATAAATAAATAAATAAAAATAGGACCACAGAAGGAGAGATTTTTGATCTAGAAAGGACTTTATCTGTCACCTAATCTACACCGCGCCCTCCATTTTACAGATTAGAAGCCTGGGATGCACAGAAGTTAAGGGAAAAACTCTAGTTAGTGGTAGGGATGGGACAGAGGACCAAGAAGTGAGAGCTGAGGGACTGATCCCCAATGAGGATGGACTAGGAATTCAATTCTCATGAAATGGGAAGACACAGAAAGATATCCCAGAATCAGTGTCCAAACTAGAAGGCACCCTATTCAATCTAGTGCAATCCGTCCCTGACCAAGAATCCCCTCTACAGTATGCAAAATAAATATCTACCCTCCGTTTGAAGACTAACAGTGATAGGGTCCCTCGAGTGCCAATGGCAGCCCATTTCATTTTTGGATAGGTCTGATTGTTAGGAGCTAGTTTGTGTATTTTCTGTCTTTTGACAACTGCTTCCATACATTGATCCTACTTTGGCACAATGGGACAAGGCAGGACAAACTTATTATTTGAACATTTCAGCCTTCAAATATTGGGGTTCATTATCATAGGCCCCCTAAGTCTTTTCTTTTCCAGGGTTTCTTACAACTCACTAAAACACCCAAATCATTTTTTCAGAGAAACTCATCCAAGTCATTGACAACAATTGGTGAAATTATAGATAAGGGCAGCTAGGTAGTGAAGTGGGTAGAGTGCTGGACCTGGAATCAGGAAGACTCATCTTTGTGAGTTTAGGTCTGGCCTCAGATGTTTACTAGCTGTGTGACCCTGGGCAAGTCACTTAACCTGTTGGCCTCAGTTTCCTCATTTGTCAAATGAGCGGGAAAAGGAAATGGCAAACCACTCAGTATCTATGCCAAGAAAACCCCAAATAGGGTCTTGAAAAATCAGACACAACTGAAACAAATGAACGTCAACATTGATAAGGGTCAAGCTCAGGAATGTGCAGGAGCCAGCTGGAACCAGTTCACGATGGCTGGTTATTAAATTTTTAGTATGAGTGTTTGTGCTTCAGAAATCGGCAAACCCTACAGATATATTGTTTTGTTGGTTGTCTAACTCAAGAAAGTGGTGGAGAAAAAGTTAATAACATAAATTAAACCTGAAAGTGTATTGTCGGTACATTTTTCCCCCAGAGAGCCAGTTGTTAACATTTACTACCCTCCCCACTGGTCAAAGCTAGAATAATTAGAATAAATAGTTAAACAAAGTACATTTTGATGACCCTTTTGAGTTCAGAAGCAACTTTTCTTGAGCAAGACTAAGAGAAGATTCAAACATTAAACATGGGAAAACATTAGCTTTAGAGTAAGTTAACCTATGGTTGTTAACAATTACTTGTAGAGAGAGAAAGCTCATACTACGTCTTGTTCTCAGGGAGTGATTTTTCTTTTCAGTCTTGAGCCATATTACATCTCATTGTTGATCAATTTCTTATGGTGAACACATAACAATTTCATATTATTATTCTGATAGTTATATTCTAGCCAAAAGTTGCTTTAAAATTGTCTAATATCCTTTAAAATTTTAAATTTCTATGATTCAGTGAAGATGGTCCACTTTTACTTTATATTTTCCATGGCTGGGGGTAACCTAAATGCTGAATCTGCTGATGAGAGGGCATCGTTTTTTACCTGCTGACAGCCACTAGCTTTGCAAACTTGATGCTTCTAAAGACACAATAAATCCAGGTAGGGCTGTTCTTACCTGTCACAATGGAAAGAATAATGAATTTGGAGTCAGGGAATCTGGATTTGAATCCCAGCTTAGTGACTTCTACCTGGGTGCCTTTGGGCAAGTAATTTTCACCTAGCTGGACCTCAGTTTCCTCACCTGTAAAGTGACAAGTTTAGACTAGATAAAGTCTTAGAGCACCTTCTATCTCAAAGCCCATGATTCGTGCATATGTGTGTGTGTGTGTGTGTGTGTGTGTATGTATGTATATTTGATCAGGAATTCCATTTTTTGATCCTCTGAAATCATACAACTTACAATCACCTACTCTGCAGATATATAAGGCCGGCCCTGTGGCTGAGAGATTGGTGCAATAATTTGGGGAAAAAAAATCCACAAAACAATAAGAGACTCTGGATAGGCTCTCTACATGACTTTCTCCTTCTTTCAGGGAAAAGCGATGATGAAGATAGCCTTTGCAAGGCAGGCCATGGGACAGGGAAAGGGGTTGCTGAGGATGGCAAGGACCACAAGCGCCCCAAACGCCCCAGGACCATCCTGACCACCCAGCAGCGGAGAGCATTCAAGGCCTCATTTGAAGTCTCCTCCAAGCCATGCAGGAAGGTACTGTAAGGAGAAAGAGGGAAGCAATTACCTACATCTGTGTCGTTTCTCTGATGAGGAGTCAAAAATGACTTGCCTAACCCTAAACAGTGCAGATCCTCTTAAGGATGGTTTTAAACTCACATCCACATGTACCCTCCTCTCCTTCCCGTGTACATACATTACACTCATGGCATTCATTCATTCATTTGTTAATTAAATAAATACTTGAGTACTTATTTTATACTGAACACCTTACTGGGGAAGGTTCAAAGTCTAAATAAACCAGGTTCCCTGCTACAGTGCAAGTATAGAGCCCAGTGGGAAGATAAGATACAAAAAGTGATAACTACATTATATAAATGCATTAAAGGGATGTGTTGACAAAGGACTCTGTGAGGCCTGAGCATATATACAGAAAGAAAACCTGGTCAGGAGTTAAGGAAAACTTGGTTATTAGAAAATCATGGCAGGTGGAAAAACTAATTTAAACATTGGTTTTAATTCCCTTCTGAACCTGTACAAAAAATTTCAGGGTGATCTTCTCTTCCTGCTCTCATTACTAATGTTGCTTCTTTTGTCCCTCTAAGGGAAGTAACTTATTTTTTGAAATCCCAAGTCTTCCCTGACCAGTCAAAACATATGTGACAGATTTTGCCACAACATAAATATAAAATAACTTCCCATTCTCACTATCCCACTGCCAAAATGCTTACTTGTCGCATGTAAGTAATGCAAACTTTTCAGCGTTGTTTTAATCTGCATTTCTCTACTCAATAGTGACTTGCAGCATTTTTCATATGACTATAAATAGCTTTGATTTCCTCTTCTGAAAGCCACCTGTTCATTTCCTTTGATCATTTATGAATTGGGTAATGGCTCTTACTTTAAAAATTTAATTCAGTTCCCTATACATTTGAGAAATGAGGCCTTTATCATAGAAACTTTTTGTAAATTTTTTTGATATTACTTCAAAGTGTTGTGGGGTTTATGCAGCCTGTAGGCAGCATGTTTTATGCCTCCCTACTAGGCCAAGTATAGCAGAAAGCATAATGTAAGAAGCTCCACTAGAAAGGTACAATGAGTATGAGTATCCCCATTTTGCAGACGGGGAAATTGAGGACCAGAGGTTAAGTTGCTTGCCTGTGGTTACACTGACAAGAGGCATCAGAGATAGGATCTTGAACCCAGCTTTCTTCTAACTTCAAGTCCAGCACTCATTCTGCTATGCCATGATATCGCTCAATAAATCAAGGGAAGAAATGGCAACATTCAAAGTAAATTCAAATACAAAATGACAACCATAAAGCCAAAAGCAGTAAGTCTCTTTTAAAGCTAATTTTCACAGAAATGCTCAAGCTCAGCGCGTCTGTTAATAAATGTGTTGCAACTAATGTTTAGCAATGGGCTAGCGTCCAACAACTGCTGGAAGAGTTGGCCAATGTTCAATGTAACGTCAAACCACAGGAAACACCTCCTTGAGGTGTGTTCATGATTGTTTCTTATGAGATGTTCTTGGTGAATTCAATTTTAAAGAGGGAATTTTTCTTATGCTTTAGATTACTTGATTTCAGACCATTAGCTAGGTCTTTAGGGAAATATTGACATTGACCTCTTGTGGAGTATTTACTTATAATTCATGCTTTTTTTCAACTCCAGTTGTTACATGTCATCAGATTTATCAAAATTCACCCTGACTTGTTGTATGTTCCAAACTTACACTTAAAGTCAAGCGCTAAATGAGAAAGGATGCAAGTTTCAACATGTTCAGACAAATATTCTCCTTCCCTTGATCTTATTACAAAATGTCTCTTCTATTCATCTTTCTTCCATCCCTAATTCATTTCAGCAGTGACCAGGCACAAATTCATAGTCATATTGAGTTCAGTCACTTTGATGATACATTATGTATGTCATTAAACAATACACCTATGAAAAGATTACACAGCGTATCACAAAAGTCTTGGTGCAGTGTCAATCCATTAAAGCTAGAAACCACACAAAAACTTTTGGGACATCTTGTACATATGAAGTTTTGTTCCGTATCATTGTTGTTTAATGTTAAGTTATTGACCAAAAAATCCAATTTAATTGGTCTTCCTCATCTTTTATGATAATTTTAAATAAATAATTTTATTTTTTTCAAAACTGCTGATTCCCTACCCCCTCCAGTAAAACAAACAAACAAACAAACAAAACAAAACAAAACAAAAAACAAAACCAAAACAAAACCTGTGTACCAGAAAATCTATTAGAGGAAAATAAAGTATTATTCACAATCAAGGTATGTAATATAATAAGAAATGCTTTAGCATCTTTCCCTTTTTTGAAATCTTAATGTTTCTAACTTTCCATCTTTTAAAGGTAAGAGAGACTTTGGCTGCTGAGACAGGATTGAGCGTCCGTGTTGTTCAAGTTTGGTTCCAAAATCAGAGAGCTAAGGTAACCTGCCTTTTTAACTTTATATCACCCATATTCCTTGTGATATTGCTGTGTCCCTGAAAAAAATAGTGATAGGAGGAGATCATTTGTTGTGGCCATGTTAGTTAATTATTTGCTCACTGACTGAATGCATCCTGTCATATGTCTGGGGAAATGCTTTACCTTAGTGGTTATAAGATGATGCTTTAAGCATAGTTTAAACAGATAGTAAACATTCTCCTAAAAATTGCATTGTAAATTCCAATTGACGTATTCAAGACCAAGCCTAGTGAAGTAATAATAGGAGCTGACATTTATACAGTGTGTCCCAAAAGTCTTAGTGTGAATTCTGGAACACCCTACGCATATGAATTTTGTTAAGTTTCATTTTTGGTTAGTGTCAATGGTAAGTCATTAACCAAAACAACCAATTAAAAAATATTATCTGAGTTTCCAAATAAGCAGACTGGCCATTATTGTTATTGTTATTATTATTATTACTATAATAAAACTTAAAACTACGCTAAGAATTTTGAGATACGCTGTATAACAATGCATTATTGTTATATGGAGCTTTCCACTAAAATAAGCTTCATCTGATACTCATCAGTACAACAGAATGATACTTCAAGGTAGTCTAAGTACTGTTATCCCTATTTTATAGATGAGGAAACTGAGACTCAGGAATGTAGCTGAGATTCTACCCAGTAGCAGATGGACTGTGAACCAAACTGAGGTCTATAGGTTCCAAGTCTAGTCTTCTTTCCCTTATACAAAACTGACTCATTAAGTAATAGTCATTGAATTCTCTAATGATTTGAGGTATTCCCATTTTTAAAAACAAAAATTCTTTGACGTTTGTAGTGTAAGTGTTATTATCCACTTTTTGCAGAAGAGAAAACTGTCTCAGAGGCTATGTATTGCCCAATGCCCGATGGCATATGGCAGAACCGAGAAGTTAAGCCAGGTCTCCTGATTACAGATGAATTTGGTTTTTTTGGGGAGTGTTTAACTTCAGACACATGGTCCTTTCCAGCCTGTGCCTCTCCATTTTTGGCAATCTTCCCCATTCCCATGGACAAGACTTTCCTACTGCTACTTGGCTTCTAAGGGCCTCATTCTGGCCTGCCTTTTATGGTAACAGCCCCTGACCCCATCCCTTTCTTCTCCATTCCCATTCTGTTAGGACTCATCTCTTTACTAGAGGAACAGCCAATCTGCACTAATGGCATCACATGTGCTAATAGATTAATGTGTCACCAACCCCCATTCCCCAGCCATTACTTTAGTGGACCTTCTAGAAAAGATATCCTGTGGTAGGGGCATCATAGAATTGATTGGAAGTCAAAAGAATGCACCAAATCCTGTCTCTGACTCTTACTTTTTATGTGATGATCTTTGACAAGTCACTTAAACATTCTAGGTCTCAGTTTCCTTATCTGTTAAATGAGGGAGTTGAAATAGATGGCTTCTAAGGTCCCTTCTAGATTCTAGGTCTATGATCAAACCAATAAATCAATTTACATTGTATGACATTGAGCAATTCCCTTGCTTTTTCAGGCTTCCGTTTTTTTTCCACCTGGAAAGTGAAGAGATTGGTAGAAGACAATCTCTAAGATTTCTTTCAGTTCTAAATCTTCTGTTTCTATGGCTATGAGAAGTGACTCTAAAGGCAGGCTCTTCGAACCAATGGGCAAGCCATTTATTCTACCTACCTACCAGGTCAGCCTGAGCACATATGCCATACAGCACGATGCAGCAAAGAGTGCTGTCTGTAGAGCCAAGAAACCTGGGTTAGAACCCTGGATTCAACACTTGTTAACTGTATGATTATAAGTTTGTCACTTAATTTTTCCAAATATTAGGTTGTCTTTCTACAAAACCAGATTGATGCTATTTTGCTATTACTTCACGGGACTGTGAGAAAAGAGTTTTAGAAGGGTTTTGCAATTCTAAAATGTCATAGAAATAGGAGTTATTGTTACTATTAGAGATGACTAGGCCTACAAATATTTGTGGCAATGATTATAGGCAGGACATTAAGTACACTTATTTATTCTCCTCTCTATTTTAAATGCTGGCTGTTGTGGATTCAGAGCTCCTCCATTTTGAAAATCATTTCATTTAGTTAACACATATATGTCTATAGTCTCCCATTGGTACTTAAAATGCAAGTAACCCCAAATAGGATGTGCCGTGGTATCCTGTTGTGCAGCCTGTTCTGAGAAACAGCCTAGGTCCCATCCCACCTTCCCGTTACCCTGACACTATGTAAAAGAGTTATTGCACCAGATTAGCCTTGAGCCCCAGTACCAGGGACCTTGACCGGTCAATTTTTACTTTGTGCCTTACCCTGCTTCTCGCTCCTTGAAGCTTGTATAAACCTTGCGTGCTGTTCGTTCAGGGAGTCTTTGCCTCTTCTCCCCTGCTGGAGATCTCAGTAGATCTTAGCTGGTCCAAATTATATTTCTTTGCCAATCTGTTGTTTCATTTCCCAACATAGATACTGTTTTTCGTATGGAAGCAAAGTTCTGCCTGTGTCTCAGTCTTCACATCTGTAAAACAGCACTGCAGATGAGATATAGCTAATTGCCAGGTCCCCAGTTGAGCCGTTTTCCCAAAATCTCTGGGTCCTGAGAGGCAAGCCCCTTCCCCAAACGCAAAGTGGAGCAAGCAGGGTGCCATGGTTTTACTAAGCAGACAGTCTTATTTCAGAGGCCATCCCTCCGCCTTTCCTTCTCCCTCCCATCCTCCACCTCATCAGGCTAGGGCAGGTGGGCTAGGTTCTAACCCCCTTGTTCCCTCTTCACCAGATGAAGAAGCTGGCAAGACGACAGCAGCAGCAGCAGCAAGATCAGCAGAGTACACAGAGGCTGAGTTCGGGTAGGTGGACGTCCCCTCCTCAGCAGCTAGTGCTGAATATCCCTTCTCTATTTCCTCCCAGAATTAAGTAGGAGACTTCACTAGCCACCACTAAGCCACCCCAGCTCAGCTCTTCGTCAGGAGATCTCTGAAATGAGCGATGCCCCATCTATCACCCGCCTTCCCTATTATCCTTAAATCGAGGACTGAGACCATCTTTCCTGCTCCATAGGTCACATGTTAGCTGTGGCAGAGCTAAGGATACCTGAGCTGCAGAGTGCAGGGTGGCTATCTAACGAGGGTGATGGTAGCCATTAACTACCATCGATGCCCTGTTAACCCTTCCTCTTTCCTGACATCATAAATTGATCCCTTATTGGTGGCTTTATCTTCTCTGCTTGTCCATTCCTGATGACATCCTCCTTTTCTGAGCTAATGTGGCATGAGACGGCTAAACGGTGAAGTGGATAGAAGGCTGCGCTTGGGGTCAGGAAGAACTGAGTTGAAACCCAGCTTCAGACATTTATTAGTTGTGTGACCTTGGGTAAGCCGCTTGAGCTCTGTTTGCCTCAGTGTCCTCAACTATAAAACTGGGATAATTTCAGCACCTTCCTTTCAGGATTATTGTGAGGATCGAATTAAATAATATTTATAAAGCACTTAGCATAGTGCCTGGCACATAATGGACACTATATAAATGCTTATTCCTTCCCTCTCTTCCTTAAAGTAAGAAAAGATCCCACCATCATTTAATCTCTTTCAGTAACATGAAAGTCTTACAAATTTCTTTTGCATTAGTCTGTTTTGTGGTCATGAAAAAAAATGTGTTCTCTGATTCTGCAAGGAGGTCATCTGAGGCAATGAATTTAAGAACTCTTGTATTAGTGTCATCTCATCTTCCTCATTACAGTCCCTATTATTTAGCATGGTTCTTCTACCAAGTCTTTTTGCTAGATAAGCTCCTTGAGGAAACGGACTGTCTTTTGCTTTGTTTTGGATCCCTAGGGCTTAGCATAATATTTGTCACACAGTAAATGCTTAATAAGTCCTAGTTAATAATAATAATTATAATAATGATAATTTCCAATGGACCAGAACTTGAGCAAGTTTAAAATTCAAGGTATTTTGCAAGATTTTCAAGAGGATTTTGCAAGATGGCTCCCCTAAATTAAATAGAGCAATACGAAAGGATGCCACAAAGGACTATTGATCTTTCTAGGACCCATTCATTCAGAGGCTCCCAAAAATTCTCCTATAGCAGCTCTACGGACATCAAAAGACTAATGCAGATGGCAAGTATTTACCACCTTTTTGATTGTAGATGAAGAAACAAAGGCTTAGAGTATTGGTTATGATGACATGGCAAGGTGAGGGAAGGGAACTGGGGTCCTCTGGTTCACTGCCACCCCAGAAGGACTACTTTTGGAGAGTTAACAACGTACTATGTCCTCACTGAGAAGGAAATCAAAGTAATTAGCATTTATTAATGTGTGACAAACACTGTGCTAAGTGTTGGAAAATGCAAGTAACAAGCAGGAATTAAGACAGTCCCTGTCCTCAAGGAGCTTACATTCTAGTAGAAAAGAACTAATTGCAATAGATGCCAGATAATTGGGAAAATAGGCCAAGATAATGCCTCCCTTCTTCCAGATCAGTGACAATGATCTCTCCTCTCCTTTGTCCTACAGCTCAGACAAATGGTGGAGGGAGTACTGGAATGGAAGGGATCATGAATCCCTATACTGCACTGCCAACCCCACAGCAGCTCCTGGCCATTGAACAGAGTGTATACAACTCAGATCCCTTTCGACAAGGGCTCACCCCACCCCAGATGCCTGGAGACCACATGCATCCTTATGGTGAGAAACTCAAAACGCTGCCAGGACTGAATTCAAGAAACACCCCCTACTTGTATATAGGCTGCTTCTGGAGCAAAGTTAAGTGACTGGTCCACTGTCACATAACTAGTAAGTGTCTGAGACCAGATTATGAGCCCAAGTCTTTTTGACTCCAAGTATGGCACTCTATCCACTGGGCCACCTAGGAGCATGACTATTTCTATTCCAACAATGCATTTGAATTTTCAGATCTTTTTTTCATACCAGCATGGGGTGAGTAGAGGAGCTCATTAAATTATTTCTAATGATAATACCTCTAATCAAGGAATGATTCTTTAATTAAGCAAGTAATTAGCTCTGAGAATAGACATACAAGTAACAGTTTTTCTACCTGCCTTTCTCTGTCGTAAGTACTAGCAGGTGTTCTAACGTAATCTAAAGACCATAAATCAACCTTTAATGGTTAAAAAGTTTTCCTCCCAATTAGAGTAGACTTATATGCTGAGTATAGTCTATCGGTAGGAAATCTTCCTAGCCCAGCTCTAAATAGCTACAGAAAGCACCCACCCTCCCCACTTACCATTTAAAGAACTTCTAGTGGGATAATAGATAGGTGTAGGAACCAGGCTTGTAGCCTCGAGTTGCTCTCCAAAACAGGAAAATGGGATTTAATGGATGTTAGAGATGTAAAACATTAGCTTTTTACAAAGAAAAATTCATATTGACCAATATTCTGCAATATGTAGTAAATAAAATACTAGTTGCTAAGACTAAATATAAAGTTTTTTTTCAGGCTGAAGGAAACACCAAACCATTGGCATGATGGCAACATCAACCACAAATTATGGACCTTAAGTCAACCAACTTCCTTTGTTCACTGGTGTCCTTATACATCCAATTGTTGTATGCCACCAGCACCCTCTGCTGTCTAGTAGCAGACACCAGCAGGCTCCTTCCTCAAAACATGAAGCTATTCCAGGGACATGCATATTTTTGCTAGGTTCTTCCAGCTCACTTCCTTTTGCTCAAGACTCCAAGAGTGTACTTGAAGAGCCTGAGAGAGTTAGGAATTCATAATGTATATCTTCTCTTGAATATGGGAGGAGATCACAATCCTTATCTTTTATTCCATTGCCCACCTCCTACAATATGGTGTGCAGCCAGGTTCACTCATTGGGACTTTGCTGAGTCTCCAAAGAGGCAAGAGACACTAAAGACATACCTGCTGAACCTAGAGGCTGATGAGGGTAGATGAAGCAACCATTGGCATAAACAAAAGAGTGAATGGAATGACTAATGATAAGACTAAAGCAAGGAGCTAGATGAGAAGGTGAATGGTCAGTGGGTTGGATTCTGTCACTCTTAGGGCTATTACTTTCATTTAGGAAGCCATTTTGAAGTCTCCATTGATTCATGTATGACCTGAACACTGGATTTGGAGGGAGAAACTGGGTTCAGAACCTGGCTTTTTGTGTAAGTCACTTTACCCCGGGCCTCAGTTTTTTTTTCATCTATTGTACTAGATAATCTTATAAATCTTTTTAGACTCTAAATCAATTCTCAACCATATCACCCAAAGTCATGACTTCCTACAAGAAGCCTTTTATTACTAATTCTAGCACCATAGACATATATATGCCCTGAGACCTCCTTTCCTTGTTTCACCACATCACCCCCCATCCCACCATGTTTGTATACTATACAAAATCTCAGAATCTTGGAATTGGAAGGGAATTTCTGGGCTAATGAGTCCCACCTACAAGTAGTCATTCAGGCCTTGTTTAATGATCTCTGATGAAGGGAATCTCACTAACTGCTGAAAAATTCCATTCCATTTTCAAACATCTTCAATCGAAATCTTCCTCTCTGCAACTTTGACCTATTGTTCTAAATTCCAGACTCTTTAACCACATGATAGTTCTCATTGTTCTTGCTCAGTACAGACCTTCAAATACTTGAAGGCTGCTACCATGTCCTGCCTCTGTCTTCTCTTCTTCTGGTTAACCATCTTCAATTCCTTCACCTGATCCTTGTATGCTATGATCTCAATTGCATAACTTAAAGACATGGCTCACTTTATGAAATAGCCTTATTCCTAGAAAAATGTACATAAATCCATTCTTCTAACAATTTTTCTAACAATATTTTAAAGACACTAAGGTATCTTGCTACAGAAAGGAATCCTAAGATTAAAACTTTTGTCAAGTGAATAACTATCCCCCAAATAATGTTTTCTCCCTCGGAATCAGATATACACATACACATATATACATACACACATAAATACACACACATACATATGTATATACATACATACATGCATACATATACATACACACATATATTTTCATACATACATATATATATATATAAATCAGATTTGCTTAAGCTGGGGTGGGGACAGGTGCTTCTAGTGCATTCTATACCTTTATTTATTATGCTTTGTAATTTTACCTCTGGTTATTGTTATTGTGTTGAGTTATCTCTTATCTCAGGGACTGGGTCATCCATTTCTTTTGTATTTCTAAAAGACTCTAGTTTAGTATTGGGAACACTGTGGGCACTAAGTAAATGAGACAGCTAGGTGGCCCAGGGGATAGAGCACAGGTTATGGAATCAGAAGGACCAGAGTTCAAATCCTGGCTCAGACACTAGCTACAGACTCTAGAAAAGTCACTTAACCTCTGACTTCCTCAATTTCCTCCTACGTAAAATAATAAATGCAAAAATAATGAAATAAATCACACCTGTAGAATAATATACAATAAAATGATATAGAAATACTATATAAAATAGATTAAAATAATCCCAGAGTTGTTGTGAGAATAAAATGAAGCAATATTTGTAAAGCACTTTGCCAGCCTTATAAGCTAGTTACTAAATGTTCATTGAACATAGAACATGGAATTCACCTGAAGCTTCACTCATCAGTCATGGAGCTGTTTCATGTTTTCTTACAATTCACAGAACATCATTTTCTATGTCCAACCTTCTTCACGAAAACTTGAATAGTAACTCCAGCCAACACTGCTTTCTTCTTTTCCTGACCATTGCTAGAATGATGGACAAGTCACTTAACCTCATTGGGTGTTAGTTTCCTCCTGTGTGGGATGAAGCTGATTGCATCCAGGAGTGATAAAGTTCAGTCTTTAGAGGAAGGCAGATGAGGTGGTGGTGTATGAATGTGTGTTGGTAGTAGTCGATATTCAAAGGTTTCGCTGTTGTTAGATGGAAGGGGGTGGAGCAGCGTGGCTGCCCTTCAGCTCTGGGCATTGTGGGCTGTGTTGTTCACCTTACTCCTCGGACCATGTGTGGTAGCACTTGATTATAGTCAGCTTAGCCCTCTGTTATAATTTCTTTTTATATGTAAATGTATATTAGGTGTTATTTTACAGTGGTCGCATGCATAAGTATTATTTGCTTAAAAGGATGGCCAGGTTCTTGAGGACTGTTGTCAAACAGCTACTTTTGTCAACATACAGTCTCTACTCAATAAATATTCATTGAATTGACTTGTATCTAGCAATAAAAGGCGAACTTCATGCTGGTGTTTTATTTCCATTTCAGGTGCTGAACCCCTTTTCCATGACCTAGATAGCGATGACACCTCCCTCAGTAACCTGGGTGACTGTTTCCTAGCAACCTCTGAAGCCGGGTCCCTGCAGTCCCGGGTGGGGAACCCCATCGACCACCTGTACTCCATGCAGAATTCTTATTTTACCTCTTGAGTCCACTCCAGAGTCCAGTGGCTAGGCTCCCAAGTGAAACAAACATATTAAACCAGGGGTCAACTGGCCTTAGTTTGGGAGGTTAGGGAAGAAGTGGGTGGGGGAGGGGCCTTTCTTGGGGATGCTGTATAATAACAATATGGTATAGCCCAGCATTTCCAAAGACTGAATATGTTATGGATTGCATAGTTTAATGTTTCTATAAGAGTCATAGCATTAGATATGAAGACGTGTTTATCATTAAGGACAGGGACTTTTAATATAGACATTCTCATGCAAATTAGATACCTAGAAACTCCTAACAACTTCCCACCATTTTGGGGAAGCTCTTGTCAAGAGGTGCATGCGTCTATCCATCTATGTGCCCATAGACAGATGGACGTGTGTGTGAGTGTGTGTAACCTTTCATACTTTATCATCAAAGTTTATTCCTAATTGTAACAGGCAGCATCTGTACAGCGAAAGTAACTTTATTTTCAGTGTGAACTCTATTTAAGGAAATGCTTGATGCACTTAAGTTATAAAATGAGATAATTTACTTTTATAAACTTTATTTTTAGTTGGAGGAGACTTGTCAGCCAGGGCAGGATTGCCAATTCACCTAGTCTGGTTTGAGTTCATTTAGTTTGCATTGCTAGGGGCTGAGTTCTAAAAAAGTGATTGGTCCTTGCTGATAGGGCCCCCAGTACCTAGTGGTTTAGTTGGAAGAGAGCAATGTCTCATAACATTAGCTGGGAGCTCAGAGCCAGGATGATAAAGGACAACACTTAGCTGCTGGATAATATTGGGCAAGTCCCTGAACCTCATTGGGCTGCAGCATGAGGCTGATGGAACTTACCTACCTCACCCAGGAGCACCGAAGCTTAGTTCTTATTGAAAAGCAGATAAAGAGGGGTGCAATACTGATCTGTGCCATCATTATTCAATATAGAAGGCTTTTACTACTATTGGAGTGACATGAAGATGCAGGAGCAGCTCTGGGAGGAGAGCAAAATGACTTATCTTCAGCCTTAGGCCTTTTGGGCAACATTGCCCATCCCATTTCCATTTATAGAGCCTGGGATGTTAAAGATGATATGGCAGATGTGGAGGAAGGGCTGCAGCCCTGGAGATTCTATTTCTAAACAATGTCTGGTAACTCAAGGAATCCTCAAGAGGCGATTTTTGGTGGAAGCCAGTGGCAATATCCTTTGGAGTCACTTTTCTGACCGTGGCTATACTCAACTCAGTAGCCATTGCACATAAGGATATGGTTCCACACCCTATTTCTCAAATGTGGTGCTAGAATGGGATACTTCTTTGCCAGGAGGCCTCCTGGAAAACCCAAATAAGGAGGTGGGGGCAGTGGGAAAGTCGGATTGGCCTCCATTCCTCCAAGAAGGAACTTATAGGACTTGGCTTCACTTGTGGGGAAGCAGAAGGAACCTTGGACATAGTGTCCCCAAGGCCAGAGGAAACACGTCCTCTCTATTCTAGATTCTATGTTGTGTGATTTTTGTGCTGTTGTTTATAATTTATGCAAGCAAATAAGAAACAATCCAATTTGGTGAATGAAAATAGCTAATACTGTGTAGCTCTCTGCTGGTGACTGTGGGTAAGGATCAGTCAGAGAATATAGCAGGACTTATGGGAGTGAAAATGAATGAGATCCCTACTCTAATACAAGATTACTGAAAAGACATTAAAAACTTCTTTAAAATGCACTGTCTCTTTTTTTTTATTTGGGATCAAGGGTGGCAAGCAAGGGAGGGAGCTGGGAATAAGGAGGATGCTATAATTTTGTTTGAATAAAGTGGAAATAAGGAGGGTCATGTGGTTGTTCAAATAAAGTTTGAATAAATAAGAATAAATAAATGAACCTGGGAAAATTAGGGCCCGAGAGGGTTTCCCTGTATTGTCCAGATAGGCTAAGGAAAGGTTCCTATATTTGTGAAGACCCTTTCATATCCACGAAAGGATCCTGACATGAAAATAACTATCTGCTTCGCCATGGACCACATACTTAATCCACCTACAATGTTTCTGGTATGTCAAATGAATATACTTCATGGATGCCAGAATGGAGAAAAGGGAGAGGGTAGTTTTTATTGGCAGGGACATTATAAGGCCTTATAGTGAGGTGGGCATCATGAAAAGGGAGGGTTAGCCTGACCAGAAAGAAACAAAAACAAAAATTTAAACATTTGCTTATGTTCAAAGATTTTATACTGACATTCCTTGGGATTGATCTTGACCCAGTCATAGCATGACAGAAGGTTAGAACTGGAAAGCACCTTAAAGACACTTTACTCTAATATCTTATTTATTGACAAAAAATATTATATTTTTATATCATCTTCATTTCCAAATATATTCCTCCTCCATTCACTAATCATAGATAAGTAACGTAACAAAAATGGGCTCTTTATAATAAAGAAAAAAAAAAGGAGAAAAAAGGAAGTTAGCATTATTAATCAACACATGAACCAAGACTGATAGGAGATGCAGTGTTCCACACTAAGGGCACCCTACCTCTGCAAAGAATGGAGGGAGGTACATATTCTCATCTCTTCTTCAGGGCTGTTTGGTCATTATCATTACATAACCAATTTAGATTTTTGTTTTTTCCATTTAAATTATGCACATTATTTTCTTGATTTTATTTATTTCAATTTGCATCAGTTCATATGTCTTCCTGTGACTCTCTGTATTTTTCGCAATTATAATTTTGTTGAGTGCAATAAAATTCCATTACATTTAGATAACAACTTTTTAGCCATTCCCTAATCAATAAGCATCTACTTGTTTCTAGTTCTTTGCATTAGTGGTGCTATCAATATTTTGGTCTACACGAGACTTTTATTTCAATCTATGAACTCTTTTGAATATATACTTAGCATTGAAATCTATGTCACAATGTATGGACATTTTAATAATTTTCTTATCATGATTCCCAATTACTTTCCAGAATGGTTAGAACAAACCACAACTCTAATAATGTATTAATAATAGGTAGCATTTATATAATGCTTAAAAATTTGTAAAGTTCTTTGCATATATCTTATTTTATTCTCACAACTGTGGGATGTGGGTTTTATTTTTATTCCTAATTAATAGATGATGAAACTGAGGCAGACAGTGGGTAAATTACTTGTCCTGGATCACACCAAGCTTACAAATTTCTAAAACTAAATTTGAACTCATCTTCTGGACTCCAGATCTAGCACTCCATTCACTGCACTACCTAACTTCCTATTGTACTACAACCCCTCCTACATTAACTATTACCATTTTTGGCTATCTTTGTTAATTTGCTAGAAATGAGACAAAACCACAGAGTTGCTTGATTTGCATGTATCTTATTATTAGTTATTTGGAACAATCTTTCACATGATTGTTAGTAGTTTGCAATTCTTTTGATAACTGCTCATTTTTTAACCACTTATCCATTGGGAAATGGCTCTTGATCATATATATTTCTATTAGTTCCCTATATATCTTAGGTATCATGCCCTTATAAGGAATATTTAACATAAAGATCCCCCCCAGTCAACAGCTCCCCTTCTTATCCCAATTATCAATACCATCCTTTTACAGTTATGGAGATTAAGGTCTATGTGGGGAAATTAAATTCCCAAGGACAAACATAGTGACAGAGCTAAGACCCAAATGCATTCTCATTCTAAGCCAGTGTTTCTTCCACTATGATGTGTTAATACTCTCTAGCCTACACTTTATCTGGGCTGGAAACAGACCACTGCATCAATTCCTGACCATTTCCCAATCATGACACTTGCACTCTGTTCTCTTCCTCTCCCTGCTAGGACTCAGACTCTGCCCCTGGGGCAATGAGCTCATATTAGGTGAGCTTTCACCTTATCTGGCCTGGAGCTATGCTACCACACCATTTCCTGGCTATTTCTGAAACTATGACACTTCACATATGTTCCCCATCTCCTTTTCCTTTCCAACACTCACTCCCCTTTATTTGTTGACTTCCTATATTAGAATGTAAGCTCCTTGCAGGTAAAGTCTTTTAAGTTTGTTTGCTTTTGTATCTTCAACACTCAGCACAGTGCCTGGCAGATAGTAAGCATCCAATGAGTACTTTGCCATCCATTTTCCTTCATATAAGGAAGTGCATTGCTATCTTCCTTCTTACCTCTTCTCCTCCCTCTCCTCTCTTTTCCCCACCTAGTACCCTTGTTGGCCTAAAAAGATTTCTTCTGACTCTAGTTTTGTTAAATCTATATCCACACAGAATCCCAGGATCTCAGTGTCAGGAGAAGCCTTTTCTTTCAACACATCTGAAAAGGCCTCATTTCTATACCAACAATTGTTGATTCCTCCTTCTCATAAAGATGTTCAGTGAAGGGAAATCTTTATTTCTACCTCCAAGTCAAGCCCATTCTGCTTTTGGATAGCTTTATTTGCTCACAAGTATCTCTTTTCTAACCTAAATTGGTCTCTTTGCGACTCATTGTGTCTAGTTCTAATTGCTCATACCAGCAGATTAAGTCTCTCTTCCACATGATGGTCCTTCAAATATTTGAAGACATTTCTCATTTGCTCTCTAAGAATTATCTTTGCCAAGCTAAATATTCTAAGTACTATCAACCAGTTGTAGCTATAGTCATATTTCTGAAAGGACAGAATGGGCAATATGATCAGAAATTCCAAATTAATTAGAATTCTTAGCTCTCAACATTATGCCCTCCAAAATCTCTCAGAGACCAATTTTTTTTCCTTCAAGTAATCCCACCCCCTTCCTTCTTTGCTTTCTTTTTTTTTGCCTCAGCTACAGTAGCAGATGCATAGCAAGTATTTTATGAAGATGAACTAATGGATTTCCTTTTCCCTCTGTTCTTTCTTTTCTTCCCCTCTCTTCCCCTCATCCTTCTCACAATGAAAGCTCTATTGATTTGCCAAATAACAACTTTCATATTTATATTTTCCAGTAGAATTTCATAGATAACACTTTTCCTAATGGGTCTTCTTTCTCTGATAACTGGAGAGGCATT